ATAGCTTTTAAGCTGTGCAAAGCTCTTCACGAATATTTTATCCTCACAACAACTTTGGGAGGTAGGTGCTATTATTGTCCCTATTTTACGGATGAGGAGGGTGAGACAAACAAGTTAAGTGATTTGCCCACAATTTTCTGAGAGTTCTCACATTTTGTTAAACGTTTTATTTTGATTTAAGAAATGTGATTTTTTGTGCCTAAACAAGATTTTAAAAACACTTATTAATAATATCTTTTGTTTTTTATCACCTTCATTTACAAATTTCTTCCTCCCCTCCCCACCTACCTAGAGTCATCTCATGACAAAAAAAAAAGCAGAGCAGTTCAGCAAAAGTAACCATCAACACAGACTGATAGTTTACACACCTATACCAATCTCCGCCCCCAAAGAAGAGGGAGAAATAATTTTTTTCATATCTTTTTTGAGGCCACATTTGATCACTATAATAATAATAATTTTTAAATTCAATTTTATTTTTAGTTCAAAATTCTCTCCTTTCCCCCTACTTATTGAAAAGACAAGAAGAACAAAACATAACAATTATGACAGTTATGTATAGTCAGGTCTTTATAATTAGTCTTTTTTATTTTTGGAGGCAGTTGGAGTTAAGTGATTTGCCTAAGGTCACACAGTTAGTGTCTGAGGCCAGATTTGAACAGATCCTTCTGACTCCAGGGCTGTTACTCTATCCATTGTGTCGCCTAGCTGTGCCCAGATAGTTTTTTGATTGTTGCTGTTGCTATTGTTCTTTCATTTCCATTGTATATATGTATTATTTTCCTAGTTCTACTTATATCAATTTGCACTAATTCCTGTGTTTTCCTGTGGTTCTCTGAATTTTTCATATTCATTCTTATGGTGCAGTAATGCTTTGTTGTATTTGTGTGCCAGTTGTTTAGCTGGTCCCCATTCAGTGAGCATCCAGTTTGCTTCCAGTTCTTTTTCACTACAAAACATACTGTTATGAAAATTTTGGTATAAATGGGACCTTTCTTTTTGTCTTTAATTTCCTTGGGTATATGCCTACCAAAATGGTATTGGTATTTTAGTCACTTTCTTAGCATAATTCTAAATTTCTTTCTGGATTATTTAGACTACCATGAATTGTTTTAAATACCCTTTAGAGTTGGAGGCTAGACTGTTGTTCAGAGACTTTATCGAAGTATATAGGGCCTTTAAATTTTTCAGAGTCTAAATGGTTCTTGAGAATGTGCTCTCTCTGTGTTCTTCCAGCATACTTAGTTTTGCTGATTAACTAAATTGAAGTTCATGACCAAAGCTGCATAATTTCCTATACATTATATTCTGGTTTCTTCAATTATAACTTACCTTCTTTGGGAAGTCCACTGTAATCTTGATTGTTGTAACTTAGTGTATTATCTGTCTGCTTGTAGCTTGTGGTATTTTTTCATTATCATGTACAAGTTTAATGTGTCTAGGAAAATTGAATCTTGAGTTCTTCCTTGTAGGGGTCCATAAAATCGTAGAATTAGAGCTGAAAAGAGACGTTAGAGGTTTTTCTCAGTTAGATTGCTAGAAAAAGCTGTACCCTTACTTGTCCTCCCTTCTCACTTTTCAGTTCTTTGCAGTCTGGCTTCCAACTCATCTCTGAACTGAAACCTTTCTCTTCAAAGTTACCAGATATTTTAATTGTCGGATATAATCATCTCTTCTCAGTCCTCATCCTTCTCTACATGTCCACTGCATTTGACACTGTTGATTATTCTCTCTGCCTGGGTATGCTCTCTTTGGTTTTTGTGATACTGTTCTCTCCTGTCAAATCACTTCTTCTTTATCTCCTTGACTGGTTCATCATCCATGTCATGCCCTCAAACTGTGGATGTTCTCCAAGGCTCTTCTCTTTTCTCTCTATATTCTCTTGCTGACCTCATCCTCTTCTGTGGGTTTAATTATTATCACTATACAGATGACTCACAGATCCATGTATCCAGTTCCGCTCTCTCTGAGCTTCAGTCCAATGTCACCAGTTGCATATTGTACATAGCACACTGAATGCAGACATCTATCCCAAACTGAACTCTATCTTTGCCCCTAAACCCACTCCTCTTCCAAACTTCCTTATTTCTGATAATGTAGCCTTCGTTTTTCTGGATGTCCTGTAGTCATCTCAAACTTAATACGGCCAAAAACAATTCAGTTTTCTCTCCCTAACTCTTTCAGTCCTAACTCTTCTGAATTTGCCGATTTCTGTTGAGAGCACTACCATCTTTCTAATCACCCAGGTTTCCAAACTTGGCATTATCATTGACCCCTTTCTCACTCACCCTGTGTAGCTAGTTAGTTGCCAAACCTTGTTGTTTCTTCTACCTCTGCAACAACTTTGGTGTTCATCTTTTTCTTTTTAACCACCCTTCTAGAAGACCTTGTCATCACCTCTTGCCTGGACTTTTTCTGTAGCCTTCTTATTGGTCTCCCCTGCCTCATCTATCTGCACTCTACACCATTTTCCACACAGCTCCTGAAATAAAATTTAAATTCTTCTATTTGACACTTAAACCCCTTTGCAACCTGACTCTAACATATATTTTGAACCTTATTACATATTATTCCATTTCATATATTTTGTATTGAGGTCATTCTGACCTTTTTAAAAAGGATCTTTTTTTCATACACATCTTTCTCATACATATCACTCAATTTCCCATCTGTCCTTTTGTACTGGCTATCTCCCATGTCATGTGGCACTGTCTCCTCATGATAGCTGCTTTTTTTTTTTAAGGCAATGGGGTTAAGTGACTTGCCCAGGGTCACACAGCTAGTAAGTGTCAAACATTTGGTCTGAGGCCGGATTTGAACTTAGGTCCTCCTGACTTCAGGGCCGGTGCTCTATCCACTGCGCCACCTAGCTGGCCCCATGATAGCCTCTTAAAATATACTTGGTTTCCTTCAAAATTAACCTTAACTGACACCTACATTAAGCCTTTCTTCATACCCCTAGCTGCTAATGTTCTTCTCATTATCTTCTATCTATTTTGCATACATCTAATGCACACATTTTCTCCTTGATAGAATAGAAGCAAGCAAAGTCTGTTTCTTTTTTGCTTTTATGTCTATCACAGTGCCGGCCATGTAGTAGATACTTAATAACTAGCTACTTGTTGATTGATCAAAGATGTCATCCATTCTGATGGTTTTATAGGGACTTCATCTTTATGAAAATTGTTTCTAAATCTGTTTATCCAGTTCTTACCTCTTACTTAAGCCCCAGACCCATGTCTCGAACTGCCTCTTAGACAATTTTACTTCATATGTTTTGGTATCTACTCAAAGGACACACCAGAGGTTATCTTCCCCTCCAAATAGTATCCCCTCCCAGCTTCCCTGTGCTTATATTGGTAGTGGTGCTATTCTCTTGTCCTCCAAGTTTGAAATCTTGAATACTCGTTTACTTCTTTCTCTTTCATCACTTATATCCATGCAGCTAAATCTCTCTTGTACATACTTCTTCTCTTTTAACAGTGTACTACTCTGATTCAGGCCTTTAACATTTCATGTTTTAGTTATTGCAGCAGTAAAAAATTGGTCAAAACATTTGTGAGAAACTGCCTTTGTTTATTGATTATTTCATAATGTTCCTAGTTCCATGATTTTCATGTAGATGAAAGATGAGACTATGTTTATGTTTAATGCTAGACAATCAGGCAGTTGATTTGTAGAGGCATAATGAAAAGAAATCTGGGAGTGCCATGAAGACCTGAGTTTGAATTCCATTTATGACATTTACTATGTAACCATTTTGATAACACCTTTAATATCTAATAGGCCTCATAAGAGATCAGAGGATGTTTAAAAGACTATCTGCTTCAGCTCTTATTATTGATGTTTCCCAGAAATTTAGTTGTTCAGTTTCTAGAAAGGATAACAAAACAAAGTTAAATTGAGTGTATTTTAGTAAAGTTCAATTTAATTTTAATTTTTGAATTGGTAACCTCTCTTAGACCTCTTCAATGTGCATTTGTTATCTAAGCTGTAGCTTAATTTGAGACTTTTCATTTTCTGAGTTGGCCTTAATAACTGACTTGCCTGTTGTAGGTTAATTTGTGTATTTACCCTAAGTATTTGCCTCCAAGTTTGATTGACTTGATTGGGAATTCCAAAAAGTGGTTTGAGTCCCAGGTTAGGCTCAGTCAAGTCAATGACTAAAATTTTTTCCTTCTGTCTACCTGTCAGATCTTCCATTGGGGTAAAGAAAACCTTTGTTCAAGTCCTGCCTTTGATACATACTTGTTGTGTGACCTTGGGCACAAGTTACTTAACATCAATGACCCAGTCACCCCTCTAAGATTGTATGTTACAGAAATGTTGCTGGTCTACATTGGTAGAGGGAATGCACTAATGTTGAGTTCCCAAAACCAATGAAATCACAAGTCCAAAAAAGAAAAGAAAAGAGAGAGCTTGGTTAAAACAAGGTTTACTAAAGTAAAGAGAAGGCTGTGTGGCAGAGCACATTGTGAAGCACAGACGTACATTTTACTGCAAATCTAGAAGTAAAACCCAGAGAAACAATGGGCTATTATTTACTACAGTTATGTGTAGCTGTCCCTGAGGTGCTCCTTGGGTGGCAGGTGGTTTCAGAGGAGTTAACTGTTTGCTATTCTAGCAGGAGCTACCATGATATTCTTTTGTTGTTACCTTTGACCCAAAAAGCAATATTTTCAGGGGTTCTTGTTCCTATCACAGTAGAGTGCTCTCTACAACCTGTTAACTACAACTAAAAGGACTTTCTGTGCCTTGTTTTATAATTACTTTTGATCTTGTCAGTCTCTGAATAGCACTAGGCAGAGGGAAGCAAGGATAAAAATAGATGACTCTACCTAAAGAAGTAACAATTCCAGTTGCCTAGAATCTTTGATATTCAGTTTTCCCTAGAGCATGTTTTACTGTTCTAGAATTTATTAAAAAAAATATTTGTTTACATGGTTCCTATTTATCATGTCCAATTCTTAAAACTTTTTCATATGTTATTGTTTTTACAGACTGTTTTGACCATGGATGGTGAGGAAATACCAGACTTTTCAAGTTTAAAGGAGGAAACTGCTTATTGGAAGGAACTTTCCTTGAAATACAAACAAAGGTAAATGTTGAAAAGAGCAGTGGGAAGTAGTATAACAGTTAGAATATTTGCCTAAGCCCTGTTTTTTACTGTTATGTTAAAATAGTATATTAATTCTAAAGTTAAATTTCTGGAGTTAGGAGGGACGGGGGATTTTGGTCTATATTACATAATAAAATAGTCTATTTTTAGCTGAGGCTTGTATTATTTGTTGGGTGCTTATATTATTCTGACTTTGTTATTTATTGTTTGTGTGACCTTGGACTGTTATTTATTGTTTGTGTGACCTTGGACAAGTCCCTTAATCTGGGCTCTGTTTACTCATCTATAAAATAAATCTGTAATTCTGTGAATAATAGTAATAATGAAAATATTAAACTTGGTTGAAAAAGCACTAATTGTAGTTCCCCTACAATTTTTGTGTTTTCTTGTCATTTCTTGTTTGTTGAGTGAATATTGAGTAATGGACATGGCTGTGTTTTCTTTTTTCTTTTGTTATTGACGTATTTTTGATATATTTTGTTTTGAAACAGCAGATACATCTTAATTACTCAAACAGACCATCATACAAGCTACTCTTTTCCGAAGGATTGAGTAAAATCTCCTAATTGACTGCCATTTTCCACTTTTGTAGCTTACAGATTTGTTAACAGACAGGGATGATATGTGCTTTAATTTGAACAGTTTGGTTCCAACAATATCCATTGTAATTGATGTGAATTTTGTTGCCTTTTAATATTGTCTTTATTTACATGGTTATCGTCTTTGCATTTGTTTTAGCTCTGCTTTACTTCATACAAATCTTCTCGAATTTCTCTGATCTCTTCATATTTATCACTCCTTACAGTACCAAAAATATTCCATTGCATTCATCTACCACATTTTATTGAGCCATTCTCTACTTTTTGGACACACTGGTTTGTTTCCAAATATTTATTACTATAGATAGTGCTGCTGTGAATGTTGGGGGATTTTTTTGCTTTTGTATATGGGTTCTTTCTTACTCATGCCTGCATATTCACTGAGAGCTGGGTTTGTATCCATTCTGGGTTTATGTCTGCAGTACACTAATAGACCTCATCCAGTAAATCTGTTTAGTGCTCGTCGAGTTGACCAGTTGTTCTCTACCTTTGAATCTTTTGCACCCTTGTGTTACTGTTCTGGTCCTGCCAGTCCTCAGTCTACTTTCATCTACTTTATCCTTTTGCTTCTTCAGTGCTAAACATTGCTGGGAGAAGTTATAGAACCATGTCAGCCCTTTTGAATTTTCTTCTGCTTTCATCTGTTTTTTTAAATGATTCATTAATGATCTTTTCTTAATTTTTTTAAGCTATCGTCACTATCCCCAATGACTTCCCTGACCAAAACGGAACAAAAGTTTTCTCTTGTAACAAATAAGTATAGTCACACAGAACAGGATGCACACATTGGCAGTAATCTGAAAATGTATGTCTCAGTCTGCACCTGTAGTCTGTTATTTAGGTGGTGTAATAGATAGAGTGCTGGGCTTAGAATATGGAAGACCTGAGTTCAAGTACAGTCTCAGATTAGTACTATCTGTATGACCCTGGGCAAGTCATTTAACCTTTGTTTGCCTTAGTTTCCTCAACTGTAAAATAGGGTGGTCTTCCTGGATTTTTCTGAATCTGTTCTTATTGTCATTCTTATGGCACAATAATGTTTGATTACATTTACGTGCCCTGATTTGTTCAGCCATTTTCCATTTAATGGCCCCTTATTTTGTTTCTAGTTCTTTGCCTCCTTGGCTTCCCTTGACTTCTTTGTTTCTGTTTCAAGGACAAGCTCTGGTCTTTTTATCATTAGTCTTTTATTTTTCCCTGTAGAATTATGCTGTTTGGAACTATGCCCAAAGGGCTACAAAAATGTGCATACCCTTTGATCCAGCAATAGAACTTCTAGGGCTATATCCCAAAGAGATCAAACAAATGGGAAAAGGACCCACATGTACAAAAATATTCATAGCAGCTCTTTTTGTGGTGGCAAAAAATTGGAAATTGAGAGGATGCCCATCAATTGGGGAATGGCTGAGCAAGTTGTGGTATATGAATGTAATGGAATACTATTGTGCTATAAGAAATGATGAACAGGCTGACTTCAGAAAAACCTGGATAGACTTATATGGTCTGATGCTGAGTGAAGTGAGCAGAACCAAGAGGACTTTGTACACAATAACAGCCACGTTATGCAATGACTATGATTGTTAAACTGAACCCTTCTCAGCATTACGAGGATCTAAGATATCTCCAGAGGCCTCGGGATGGAAAAGGCTGTCCACATCCAAAGAAAGAACTATGGAAGTCGAATCGCTATCACTTATTTTTACCTTCTGTTGAGTTTTGTTTCATCTTTCTGATGGTTCCTCGTATTGGTTTTAATTTTTACTTACAACTTCACTAATGTGAAAATATGTTTAATGGGTATGTAAATGTAAAGCCTATACCAGATTGTGCACAGTCTTGGGGAGGGTGGTGGGGAGGAAGGGGGAGAAAAATTTTCAACTCAAAAGCACATGGAAGTGATTGTTGATAAATCAAAATAAATTAATTAAAAAAAGTGTTTTATAATATAAAAAAAAGAATTATGCTGTTTGCAAGAGAAGTTATTCTTTGTCTTAAGCCTTTTCTTTTGGAATATTGATTTCCAAGATTTCCTCTCTTTATATGATCCTGACTGTCATTACTTGGTACTCAGACTTTTTCTTCTTGTGTGCTTGTAGTACTTTTTTTTTGTCCTAGAAGTGTTGGATTTTGGCTGAGACATTCCTAGGTATTTTAGGCTGAGATTTCTTTCAGAAGCTGATTCTTTCTACTTTTATATAGTCCTCTGATTATTATAGATTTGAACAAGTTTTCTTTTATGGAAGTTATAATTTTTTTTTGTTTGTTGGTGGTTTTCAAAGATTCTACTGGTTTTTAAATGATCTCTCCTCAACCTTTTTTTCAGGTCAGTTTTTGGTAGTAGACACATTTTACAAATAATAATAATTACTAATACTAATTTACTAATTAATAAGTTAAATTTACTAATACTGAGATAAATTTACTCATTTACTACTAAAAATAATAATATTTCAGTCCTGTGACCTCCTTTGGATATTTCTTGTTGTCTGATTTAAGTGTTGGCTTCTATTAACTCTGTTTTATTTTTCTGGGAGTCCACTACATGAGCAGTATTTTCCACCTATTCTGAGTTGTTTTTTCTCTTTCCAGTGTTTTTCTTAAGTACTCTCAGTTCATTTTTAAAATCTTCATTTACCCTTGAAGTCTTTATGTCCAAACCATTTGTTTCTGTGAGGCTTACTTTTGTACTTAATAAGTGACTTTGTCTTTCTGGATTTGCCTCTTGGGCTTCTTTTAACCCATAATATTTCTGTGTTGTATTTGGAGTTTTCTTCTGTTGACTCATGTCTTCAGTATTATCCTAGATTAGGATTTTGTGCTAGGGTCAGGCTCTACTCCTTGGGTGGAATGGACCCATCCTCTTTGGACCTGTCCCTTCTGTAGTCTAGAAGCTGCTTTGAGTACAGTTCTGGATGAAGTGGATGGAGCTAGGCTCCACCTATTTCTATAATCTCTGGCTTTCTCCTCTTTCCTCTGGTGGCCCAATGCAGGTAATAGCCTCAACCAGTCTCCTTGTCCTTGTGTTTCCAGCTAGAGACAGGCTCTACCATGCTGTACAGCACTCAGAGTGGTTAGGGAAGTGAGGGTTAGGGAGCCAGGAGGTGGCTAACAGGAATTCTGAGAACTGTCTTCTTCAGTGGCTCTAAAAGGAGCCTTAACTCTAGGCATCTTGGATAGCCCCGTGGTGCCTGACCCCATCTCCCTAAGCAATAAAGGCTGGCTCCTCTCCCACCATGACTCTGACAGGAAAGGGCAGAGGTTCTGATGGCTTCAGGCTCTGTTTGTTAGAGGTCAGGCTAGCTTTCCTTCTCTACCTCATGGATTGTTCTTGCTAAGAGTACCTATACACTTCTGTTCATCTTCTTGGGCATTCCTGTACTGGATAGAAAAACTTTCTGTAATCTCTCTTTGGTTTTCTTGATAATTGTTTCTTTTGGTAAGCTTTTACATTTTTTCTGTGGTGTTTACTAGGCAATGTAAGACTGGCCACAACATTTCACGTTGCCATCTTAACTGGAAACCTATCCACTTCTCAAACCTGTACAAATGGACTTATGAAACTCTTTCCAAGGTTATCAGTAGTATTTTAATTGTTAAAAATCCAGTGGCTTTTACATAGCCCTCATTCTGCTTGACCTTTCTGTCGTTTAGGGCATTTATTGATCCCTGCTTTTTCTTGGTGTTCTCACCTCCTTTAGCTTTTGTGACATTGTTTTCTATTGGTTCTTGGTTCTCCTATCTGGCTCATTGTCGGTATCCTTTGACTCTTCACTCACTATCTCTGTCACACCCTGTTGATGTTAGTCTGGATCTCTCTTCTTTTTTATCTGACTTGGTAATATCACATATCAATGCCTAACATAGTTGTATGTGAATCGCTAGTGTTTCACCAGCGGTATCATTGGTCATTCTGCTGAATTCCAGAAGGATCAGAGCTTCAGAGACTAGGCCTCACAAAAAGCTGAATACATGATCCACGTGTCCACATGTAGGATATCTTTTAGATGTGCCTGGTGCCATGAGTGAATATGGTTTGGTCCCTGAGGACCCAGAACCCCTTTTCACAGCCATTGTTGTTTTAACCATCTAATCTCTTTTTAGATCAGCCTTTTTCTTCTGGATATTTTCCCTTTTATTGATATTAGTGATGAAAACGCTACCTTTGTCTGTGAAGTGTTCAGTTTCTTGTGTCTGTAGTATCATTTACTCCCATGTGAATTACCAAAATTAAACAGAATTTAGATTTCTAAACCATAGTTTAAAAGATAGAAATATAAGGCCCTGTAATTTAATAAAAAATGCTTTAAGCTGAAAAAGAAGGGGGAGGAATAAAGCTTCCTATTATATAGTTATCAAACGTGATAGACAGCTAGAAATTCA